GAAATTTGACTTGAGAGATTGAGTTGAGAAATTAGAGAACTTTAGAGTTGAAAAAGCTTTGAATGTTACAAGAAGAGAAGAGGAGGAGAGATTGTTGCGAGGATAAAGTGAGGGGTCAGAGAGGTATTTATAGGATGTTTTTCACCTTTTTTGAAATTAAAAAGCCTACAGTCCATTGGGCTCTCTGCCCGTCTCACAAACGGACGAAAATTCACCCGTTGAGAGATGTCAATGGGTTTCCCATTGAGAGAGGCAGGTAGTGAGAAGTGCCCGCACGTGTTGGCCACTTCTTAACGGGTTGAATTTGGTGAGGGACCTACTTATAATTTTTTTTATTTAGGCTACTTTTTTGGGCCTACCTACTACTAGACCCATTCAATGGGCTATAATATTTTTTTACAGGTCAAATTAATTAGGCCAAAATTAGTTTAGGGCTTGAGCCGAGTTCATGCCTGGCTTTTGGGCCTATGCCCAGTCCACCTCGCCTTTGGGATTGGTTTGGGCTTGGCCCAAATGGGCTGGGCGGGGCGGGCTTTCAGGCCAGCTCAGCCTGGCGGCTAGCTTTAATATGAAGTCCCTTGGTCATGTTTAAGATGACCAATTTGACCTTAGAAAGGTACATAGTGTTAATCTTGTTCAGTGGTTTGTATTTTTAACCGCTTACAGTGATTTCGGGGTGTTATTCGAGTATCTTATTGTGATTGTCTTTAGGGTCAAAGATTGTACTACCAACCTTTGCTAGTCTGTCCACGTCTTTGGATGTGATCAGTTGCGATTTGAGCAGAAAATCTTCAGAATCGTTACGATAAATTTATATGCTTAGTTGTCATCTTTATATGTTTACATGCCACGAGGTGTGGTGTTAGCTTAGCCATCTTCCAGCCTCTTTTAGGTGTGCTTGGTTAGAGGGTATTGTAACAACACATGTAGTTGTATCCACAATTAGTTGCAACTCCAACTGGATGCATCCGCAAGTAGTTGTAATTCAAATGTTGTTACAACACTCTAAAATTTAAGCATGGATGCAACACCCTTAAATTTAGTATATTTGAGCGTTGTAACAATATTTTCGAGTTGTAGTTACATCCAACCAAACACCCATAGATGTAGTTGGAGTAACACTGATCCAATTAAATCAATCCAAGCACACTCATGATGATGCAATAACATATGTAGTTCCTATACCCTCTAACCATACACACCCTTAGTACTTCGACTTTGGTTGTCGCATTCTCATCTCTCTCCGTTATGTTCCCACCGTTGAGAGTCATAATTAGGCTTCTTCATTGGGCTCTTGACCTAAGGGGTCATTCTGAAATCTTTCATTCTTCAAGACTCTAACAGATCTCTAGAGTCATCAGATGACTGGTATTAGGGATCACTTAATATTTTTTTCCACTAATAAGTTTTTCATTGATAAAATACAGTTCAAAGTTTAGAAAAATGTTTCTTGTTTTATCTCTTTATAATTTTTGGTTGATTTTAGTTGAGAAATAGAAATTAGTTCCTAAGTGATATTGGTGTTGATCATGTTAACCTCTTTGTTTTGATGATGTTTAACAAACAATTTACATCTAATATTGTTTGTCTAGTGTTTATGTTTTGTATTCATTGTAGACAAATAATATGTTGGAGGATGAATGAAATCGAGCATTCACGATCATATCCAATGGAGGTTAGCGAAAATAGTGGAGTGAAGCAATGCAATTCAAGTTAAAGATTCAAATTCAAGCTTCATCCGTAAGTTTACCAAGTCGAGCTATATTGAAGACCTTCAAGCTTGGGTATATAGTTTATAGTATTTGTAGTATAGGTTTATACTTTTGTGCAAATATCTTAAGCTCAATATTATACACACACAATTTAATGGTTTATGTGTTTTATCCACAAAAGTTTTTACAAACAAATAAATATATAATACTTATTTGTTTTATATGTGGATAAGTTATTTTGGTTTAGCTATATAGATATGAAACAATATATATCTTCATTTTCACATTTATGTGTTTCATATTCTATTGAATTTGCAAAATATTATGTTTATGGATTGAAGACTTATTTACACTATTTTCATATCTTGTATAAGTCTCTAAATCCATCCTAAAGTGTTTCAAAGTTTTGTTTAAGTCATTTAGGCAAAATCAAGTTTTTAACATACTTATGTGATTTTGTAAAATGATAAGATTTCACATTTGGGAGATGCTTTTTAAAAACCAGTTTTTGTAGCATGTTTATTATCATGTCTACAATCATTTTTTAAAGTTTTACATTTTTAAAATTTATTTGATATTTGTAAACTCTGTTTTAAGTTGACATGTACTGTTTAAAACAGGCTGTGTGTATGTCTTGAGTCGATTCATGAACAGTGTTGAATCGACTCATAAACTATTGTGTAGTTTATATTTTGTTTCTGATGAGTCGACTCATAACATCATGAGTCGACCCAGACAGGTTGAGTCAACTCATGTCTGTCATAAATCGACTCATAAACTGTGCTGGAAAGTGTGTTTTATTTCTGATGAGTCGATTCATGACTTCATGAGTCGACCCATGCATGATGAGTCGACCCATAAGCTGTTTTTAGCCTATAACAGCTAGGTTATGAGTTGACCCATGATTTTTATGAGTCGACCCATAAAGTGTCCATTGCACAGTTACGGCTATTTTCCAGCTTTATTTTCTTTTGGGTTTTTGGTCTTTTTCTTTGGTTTCTTGGGGTACCTATATATACCCCATACCCTCTAACTTCTGAGGGTAACTAAGAAAATTGTTTAAACAAGTTTAAGGGTGTTTGTTATTTACTTAAGAGGATGTTTTAAGAAAGTTTAACAAGGGTTTAAGTTTCGTTTAGTTTTGTTTCACGTTTGGTTTGTGAAGATACTTTCACAAGAGGAAGTGGAGATCAATTCATTGGTGGTTGAGCTTTAATTCATCTCTCTCTCTTGTCATCTAGAGAAGTTTTCCTAAACTCAATTCTAGCTTTTATTTATAATTGTTTATTGATTATCATTTCTACAAGCTAGTTTTTCATAATTGAGTTTAGTTTTGATTTACTCATTGTTTACACACACAACCTATTGAGCTTATTGTATTTACATTCATAGTATAATTTGAGTTGTGGGGAGTGTATCATTGAGTGTGAGCTTACATTGTGTTATCATCCATATTAGAGAACAATCATTTGTTGTATTGTGCTTATTGTGAGATTCACTTTGTATTACACTAGTATACTGAGAGGAGTGTGTGGTGAGAGACGTTGTCGCTTCCAAGAGGAGTGTGGTCGGTAGTAAAGCCTAGCGAGAGATGATAATTCTGAGCACTTGAGGAAGGACACGGGCTAGAGACCAACACTTAGAGTGTATGGAGTGTAGTTACATTGTGAGATTGTGAACGTTGATCGGTGAGCGTTAAATACTGATATTGTGTGGTGTAAAAGTTATTTGGATGAGCGTCGAAAACCCGGTTGTGATAGTGAAGATCTCCTCGAGGTGAGGAGTGGAGACGTAAGTTGTGGGGACCGAACTCCGTGAACATATCGTGTGTTTGAGTTTGCATTGGTGCACTTATTTTTGTTCATCTCATTGTGCCTTTGTCTCTTTGTTTATATTGTCCACTATCTAGTTTCGTTTGTTTACCCTTGTGTTAGTTTCATATCCTTGCATATATATCTCAAAGTATATTTCATTGTCAGGATATATCCCTTTATTCATATTGCATATTCTTGCTCATAATTGGTTGTATATTATACTTGTAAGAATATATTTATTAATTAGTTTTAATTGGTATAAAATCGGATTAGATTAGCATAAGACCCTAATCAACCCCCCTCTAGGGTCTAACAGATCCGTCCAATAAGCAAGGACATTGGAGAAAAATGTCCTACATTTTTCATTAAGAGTCTTTAGGAGAAGTTAATGGATGCAAGATGTGTTATTTTGATATGTCTATGGAAAGTTCGATTCATTTTCCTAGGGTGTGTACTGTTTCCATCTCTCAGTGCCTTAGGTGCTTATGGGAAGGTAAAACCTTACTCTGACCATCATCTTCACAAGTTTTTGTTAGGAGAAAAATGTCCAAGCTTACCATTGTGAGGTTGGTTTATTTGTGGGAAATAATGTTTTCAACAATTTACTCATGTCATCGTTCCAGAAGGAATTTTCTCTCTAGTTGGTGCTTACAATGAAAATGGTCATATCTGCTGAATATTCACAGCTATAGTTTATGACTGTATATGGGGGAGGAGGGAAGAGATTGATGGAGGGAGAGATTTGATGCGTTATGGGTGACTTAATTTGGGGTATAATAAGGAGGGGCTTTCGAGCATATGCACGAATTCTACTACTTCGTTTTGAACTGAGAACTCATGCGGAATAGGATTTGAACACCAAGGATGATCTTGTCACAGTGAAGGTAATAGTTTAAGAGCTAATGCGTAGAAATATAGGCATTAACTTGTACAACTGTTACGGACTGCTTTACAGCATCGAACATTTGAAGACTTCCAATGGATCATTTCTCATGAAAAAACAAAATTGTGAAGGGTTCTATTTAGTGCCAGGAGGAGGCAGTGGGGAGGGTTGCGATAAAACCCGTGACATTGACTCAGTAGAGATACCTACTTTGGAACAACATTTTTATAGCCTCTTCGAACCCTAAAGCAAACGTCTAAATCCACTTGCCTAGGATACGGTTTAGGTGAAAATGAAGTTGTCAAGTTCTTTTACTGCATTTGTCTGACAGAGAAGAACTATATACCAAAGATGAAAGTTACAACCGCTTTAAATTTTTTGCTGTTCAAAGAATATTTTTTTCCTTCAAAGATCGAAGAATTACTCGTCATCTATGTTGTTGGAACTATTTTTAAGTTGTCGTCAACTTGACATCTGCGTTAATGTTTTCGGCTAGCACTCGCAATAGTATCATATTTGTACTTGCAGAATTCAGTAATTTTCTGTTAGCTGAAGACAAAACATCAGTGCCTAAACATGTTTCTGATTCAGGGTTATGCAATGGGTGAATACGAGAACTATGAGGAAGCGCAAGCTGCAGCATCACTTGAGGGAGCTGAGAGCTCCTCGCTCAAACCATCCATGCTGAGTGGATATTTAGCAATGAAGCCAAGAGACACGAGGTAATGTCCACGTTATATTCTGTTACTCTATTCTTCCATTCTTGTTTTGTATGATATAATTCAAGTGTCTTGCTCCCTTTAGCAATATTGATGTGCCATACGTGCATCCGCTAGCTTTACCACTTATTTTAATCAAATTTTCTTCATTTGCAAATTTTAACGGATTAAATTGTTTGAACTTTTAGGCACGTTGAACACATGAGGTGAATGATGGAAGGAAATAGCTAAAAAGTTGTTCCTGTCCAAGGCACGTGGAAATAGAAAGGGAGTACGTAATTATTTTGAGACGAACGAAATTTGAAAGTAGAAATTGTGCCTCTAGTTTATTCTTTTAGGCTTTAATTGACCTATCCGTTTATGGGCTTCATTTGAACTTTCAACAATCGTTTAAAAATTGTATCTGCTGTTTATATTCTGATACTATCTATGACTTATGAACGTTTTGATTACTTATTTGAACGCGTCTTTATTTCTTTGCTGGATTAATGTCGTGATTCTTTTCAACTGGACACTTTGTGCTCATTGTTTAAGGAGTCCTCCTCCTCCTCCGAGGAGATAATAAGATCATTGTTCCGGTATTTCTACTA